AGGAATGCCAAATGTGTATTACCGTTCTTCCTCAACTCATAACAAACTCTTTAGAACATTTGCTAAATTAATTGAGCTCACTATATTCACATTCCCAAGAGCTACTCTAGGTACAGTCATGGATGTGATGGACATGTTTTATGTTTGTCTTCAAAGCAACATAGCATATTGAAACCTGACAAAATTCTGGTATGCAAGCACAGTGGAAGCCATTAACTAGAGCAGCAGTTGCTTGCTTCCCTTCTGCTGCATTAAAAATACATCAAATTTCTAGGAATTTATAAAAAATCATGCCAGATTCATCAGAATATTTGGTGATGTGAAAACAACCCCTTAGCTTTTAGAAGAGGGTGTTCCAATGTATGAGCTATTGTACACCATGGGCAAAGCTGTGTTCTGAAACAATGAAATGAAGGTGGATATAGGCTGAAGCACAGGAGGAGAAAATAGAGTCCATAACCAAGCATCAGGAAAAATGACTGGCTTTTTCTACTAAACAGTTTATTCTAAGCATGGCTGGAAGGGAGCAGGGTACGGGCATTTTCAAACTAACCCTCAAAGCACGTCTTTGAAAAGAGAAGTTATGAAGCAATTGGGGAACAGAACGCCAAAGGACAGGAACTTTTCCCTACCTGCAAGACGAACTGATTCAGGGCATTTGGTTGCTGGTGACCCAACCTGCCAGGAGAAGTCCTGGCATGGTGGCTAACTTAAAAGCAGAAGAGCAGTTTATGGGACTAAAGTTCCTTTAATGTCACAAACACGTATGAGAGAAGCGTTCACCTTTTTTAGCCGAAACTGTAGGATTACAACCTTGTGAGACAGCTTTTAGAAAAGCTTAGGAAAAGCAACAGACTGGATGATTTTATATACCAATAAAAACATAAGTGAAAGAAAGCTGGTGAGAAATACTAGCACCTTAGGAAAATGTGATGAATTCTTTCAAAGTGTTGAAAAGAGTATTTGGAGAATATCATGGGAATATCCTATGAAATGCAAAGGAAACGAATGGTCACAAAATCTGCAAACTGTGCAAACATTTGGGAAATTGTATTTCCCATTACCACTTACTTTGTCACAATCATTTCCAGTCAAAATAAGCAAAACCATATGGAAATAAATAAGCATCTTCATCAACACTTTTTTTTTTTTTTTTAGCACATGAGATCCCTCTCTCCTTCACTCCCTTCCCATCTTTCTTATGTAGGCATGTGTGTCAATAGTAAATCGGTCTCTTGCAATCATTGAATTTGACAATTCAGTCCATGCTTTTGGCATTTCCCAAGGATGGATGTGGGAGTTCTGTACCTTCTCTTAACTTGACAAGCTCAATCTCAAACCCAATTTGAACCACGCGATGAATAGAAAGAATTTAAAATCCAAATGCTGTCCCCCCACCCCAGCTTACAAGATATTCAACCCAAATTTCGCACCTGTGTATCTCCAAATACATTTCCAAATCAGAACAGGTAGCTTTCGTTTAAATTCATATTTGTCTAAAGGAGTAAACAGTACATTATACTAGCAGGAATTTATTAGTCAATAGCTCAGGACTGTGGAATACAGTCTGCCCGACCTGCTATGA